GGCCCAGGAAAGAACACTTAGAATGAAAGGAGCTTGGCACCCCAAAAAATCAAAGAATGTTCGAAGAATGAGAAATGAACAATGTGTACACAATCACGTTTGTTGTTGTCATGCTCTGGTTTGGCGGGCCCTCGCCGGGCCCTGGGGCCGTCAGAACACGGCTCGGGACGAGAGGCGGGCCCCGTGGAATGGGTCGAGGCCTCTGGAGGTCCACGTTGTGAAGAGGAGCATGACGTCGGGGGTATGGCGCCACAGCGCTGCTGTGTCCAGACCTCTAGCGCATTGAGAAACTCCAGGCGGCCGGTGTTCTTTTGTTTTTCGGCCTCTGGGGGCCCTCGCCGGGCCCCACGGGACCCCCACAAGGGCTACCCTCCGGCCAAAAAGGCGAGCCCCGGAGAAGGGTGGGGTGACCTCCGGGGGACCGGCACCGAGACACTCGAGGCGTCGGAGGCCTGGGCGAGAGCGCGGGTCGGAATCACGGTCTGTGTCTTGACTCGTGCCGTCGTGCAGACACACACAGAGACTCAGCGTCTGGAGAAGGACGAGGAGCCAGCTTCGAGCATCGTGCTCCACAACTTCGTCCATCCATAAGAGTTATTGGTCGCGCTGTTCGGTGATGTGCATATTGGTCAAAGTATAATTTACTGGCGCGTTCCAAACAAACACTTCGTTGCACCATTTCCACATGCCATTTTGACAGCCCATTGTCACGTCATTCGCGTTGCATGATTACCCAACATTGTATCCCTCCCTATCTGTTCGAGAACATGCTCGGCTTCGTAGGTGGATCCTTTGACCCACGTGTCCCATGGCCCACTGACTGAAACTTCGATCCTGTGGGCGAAAAATCATACGCAGCACATGCCTCCGAGTTGCCTGATTCGGTTCTCCAGCTTAGAGGTTGAAGCCCAAGAAACACATTCCAAAAACAGATGCAGGGATTGTTCCACGGAGTAACCCGACCCGGTCACGATGTGCGTGCGATCGCCCAGTGTATAATTTGTTCTTCCTCAAGCATCTAGTTTTTTCCTACCAGCGGCGATAGGATTCTCGACTTCGGTACTGTGGGGGTTCTGGAATGTGATGTTTTGTTCCCAAATGCTTCTGTGACGCCGCGTGCGTCAGCATTTCCACTGGAAGCGTGGGATCCGGCATGTACTCTGAGCGTGCTTTCTGGCGACGTCGAGACTGATTGTTCATGACTGGTGTTTGATCTGGGTGTAGCTCCAATTCATCCGTGGCGGCTTCATTACGGATATCTTGCGACATGCTCGTGATTTTATCTGACAGATCTGGCGATTAACCAAACGTCGTCAACAAATCGTATATTGGCGCATTCTTGGGCCCCCCAGCGCACTCTTGGGCCTCCAGCGACGATAGGCCCATGGCCCCCTCGCCGGAGGTCCCCAAGGAGGCGCCATGCAGATTACCCAACCGAAGAACGGCCATAGGTAGGAGAAGGAGGAGGAGAAGGAGGAGGAGCAGGAGGAGGACCTCCCTATCCTCTCTTCTCCCCCGTCCTTCCTGTGGTAGTGGCGGTGGAAAATGGGCCAATCATCTTTGTGCGAATCAGTAACAAGACAAATATCCGCCATGTACCTTGCACACGTTGGGGCGTGGACGAATGCCAAGGTCTGTCGGGTCGGGTTTCTGCACTTTTTCTAATGCCTCCCCCCCCCTTTCTGTGATGTTCCAAGGCCCGCCCCACCCCCCCCCGCCCCCCTCGACGCACCCAGCTGCATGCATCGCCCCCTCTTCCCGCGGCCCCAGTCCCTGGCAAAATGCGCCAAGCTCGCGCTACAGAGGCCCCTGTGCCGCCAAGACGGCCCGAGATCTCTCCCAGGCGGGCGGCCCACGTTGGCCGCAAGACGGCCCAAGATGGCTTCAGCACGGCCCCACGAGGCCGGCGAGGCGTCCCAGGAGAGCCCACAAAGCCTTCCCAAGAGGGCCTCGGCGCCCAAGATCCAAGAGGGCCCCAAGACGGCCCAGGGGGGCTCGAAAACGGCCCAAGAGGCGTTCAAGAATGCCCAAGAGAGCCTCGAGACGGTTCTACGAAGTGCCCAAGAGGGTGAACACGAACTGACAATTCGAGCTCGGGAAGCCCCAAGAGGGCCAAAAGAGGGCCCCAAGAGGCCCCCAGGAGGGCCCCGAGAGGCAAACGCAATTGATTCCCCTTCGCTTGTCCAATGCGTATAACAACGGACATGCGTATTGATTTCCCTTCGCACGCGCAATGTCCTGCTCACTGCGCACATGCGTGTACCAACCGACTCCTACAGTGAACTGCTCAAATGAACCAGACTCGTGATGCCTAAAATCTGACCCACCGTGCGCTGGCTGCAGCCAAGAAGCGCTTCGATGGTTTCTAGCATGAAGGGGGCGAGGCGGAACTCCGGCTCCCGCCAGAACGCGTGACACGCGAACGCATATTCAGACAATCCTGGATAAACAGTTTGAAGGGGCCCAGGGACACACAAATAAATACACACACAAATCCGAGGATCCCCTATATTTCCTAATATTATCTGGGTTCTCGTCTGCCCCCCCACTTCCCATATTTTCCTATATTTTCCTGGGGATCGACGATGAATTGTGTCATTAACCGAGGGGGGTAAAGCGCTGGCTGGAGGGTAACGGTAAAGGCGGCCGCGGCGTGCACCCGCCAGGGTGCGTCCGCGCCACCGGCGCATCAATCGCCAGTGTGCAGCACAACATGTAAGGGGGGGGTCCCGCCCCCCCTGCCCCCAGCACGATCGTTAGCGTTACCCGGTAGGGGGGCCGCTTAGGCCAGGTAACGAGCGTTACCCTGGGGAGGAACACATTCCCCCACTCACTCATCTCCTCCTCCGGATCCGCTCATCAGTGAATCCCCAAGCCGGCTACATCGTGCCTGGCCCAGGCGAGCTGCCATGTCCTGCTGGAGCCCGAGACAGGCCCAACCCTTCCGCGGCAGAACACACACACTCACACACACACAGTGAACATCTCCTTTGCGAGAGGAGCCTGGTCCTCGATTCTCGACCCTCCTGGTCCCTCCTCCCTCCCTCCCTCCCTCCTTCAGAAAACACCTCCTGGAATGGGCAGAAACCTCAGACGACCTCGAGCCTCGAACCGCGATCATCTTCTTCCTTCTCCTTTTCCTTCGCCTCCTCCTCCAAATCCTCCTCCTTCTTCTCCTCCTCCTCCTCCTCCTCCTCCTCCTCCTCCTCCTCATCCCCCTCCAACTCTTCTCCCCGTGCGGGCCGCGCGAAGCGAGGACAGTCAAGGGCCGAGCGAGTCATAACTGCTTCCTCAGGCGCCTCCATCACCAACGCGTCGCCGAACAGGGCTCGGCGGCGGGGCCGAGACCGGCCGCACGCAGCAGACTTCGTACCCCCCGCTGCCGCATCCCGCCAGCTTCGTCCAACCCGAGTGACAGGCCAACGCATGTTAAGACAACTGCGGATCAAACGCCGGCTCTGCCCCTCGTGCTCCCTCCTCTCCTCTTCGGCGTCCGCTCGGGAGTGAGTTCCCATGTCCTCGCGCCTGGGGCAAGTCCCTTCGCGGCAGAAACCAACAAGATCTACAGCGCGCGCTGGTCGGCCCTTGATCCTCAACCCTCATGGTCCTCCTCCTCCTCCTCCTCCTCCTCCTCCTCCTCCTCCTCCTTATCATCATCATCATCACCATCATCATCATCGTCGTCATCATCATCAACACCATCATCATCATCATCATCATCATCATCATCATCATCACCATCATCATCATCAGCATCATCATCATCATCATCCTAATCATCATCATCACCATCATCATTATCATTATCATCATCATCACCATCAGCATCAGCATCAGCATCAGCATCAGCATCAGCATCAGCATCAGCATCAGCATCAGCATCAGCATCATCATCATCATCATCATCAGCATCATCATCATCATCATCATCATCATCATCATCATCATCATCATCATCATCCTACTCTTCCTTCTCCTCCTCCTCCGTTCCCTAAGAGTGCACCCCCCGGACTGGGCGAAACCTCCCGAAGACTTCGAACCTCCCCCGCTTCATGCTTGCGGTCCCCCCTCTGTCCATTCCCGCCTGCCCGCCCGCATGCTTCGTCCCGCCGGACCTGGCCTCCCGCCTGCGCGTTCGCCGTCGCATGCTTGCTTCTCGTTTCCTTCCTCTCTTTCCTCGGTGGCGAGCGAGGGTGGGGAAGAGAGAAGGGGCGGGCCTTCTCAGAAGGCTCACAAGCCCCCTGGCCTTTGAGAAGTTTGCCAAGTCTTCCCCGAAGACACAAGACATTTCTCAGAGGTCGCGAGGGCTTCTGAGAAGCCCCGCCGCCTTCTGAGAAGGCCTTCTCCTTTCCTCAACAAGAGCAACACTGCACAAACATCAACTTTTGGCGCTGCGCGCGGATTTCTTGGAGCTGCGCTGGACCCCCCTCCCTGGCGCGCTGAGCACGCCAGGGGCGGCGCCGGAGGCGCCGCCGGGGGGGCCCAGCGCGGATCCAAGAAACCCGCGCGGAGCGCCAAAAGTTTGTGTGTATGGAGTGTTTTCTTGTTCGATTCTCACTTTCCCCCCTCGTTCGCTGCCGATTGTCGTCGCCGCGCAGAGCAGACTGCCTTGAGCTGGCCCTCCTCGACGAGGGCGCCGACGACGAAAACGACGCTGGGTCCATCCCTCGAGGTGCTCCGCTCCTGGCCTCCTGCAGCCATCTGCGGGGCTGGGCGCGGCCTGAGAGAGCCTCGAGCGCCTAAAACACTCCCTCCTCCCTACTCCCTCCTCCCTCCTCCTCCTCCTCCTCCTCCTCCTCCTCCTCCTCCTCCTCCTCCGCCTCGTCCTCCTCCTCCTCCTCCTCCTCCTCCTCCTCCTCCTCCTCCTCCTCCTCCTCCCCCTCCCCCTCCCCCTCCCCCTCCTTCTCCTCTATGGTTCATTAGGGAGCGGGGAAGCAGTGCAGCTGCACAAGCCCGCCCGCGGCCCCGCGAGGCGAGGGCGGCAAGCCACCCTCCCCGTCCTGAAGGCCAGCCGGAAGAGATCGGCGGCGTACGGCGTGTGGTGCCTGCCGTGCTGCAGGTTGTTGCTCCTCTTCGGGGCTCGCGGCGCGGAGGGGCGCTCCTCGGCAAGGGGTGCTACAGGCCTCGGAAACATAGCGAACATGCATGCCGTCATGCCACATTTCCCCCTCCTCCTCCTTCTCCTCCTCCTCCTCTTCCTCCTCCTCCCCCTCCTCCCCCTTCCTCCCCCTGCCCCTACTCCCCCTCCTCCCGTCATCCCCCTCACTTTGGCACAACCCTCACACGACTCGTAGTCCCATACAGGCCTCAGACAAAAATAGCGAAACACGCATGCCGCACTCATCGGGTCAGCGCCTCCCCCTGCCCCCCATGTTCAAAGTTGGCGGTGGGTCTGAGGCGTTGCAAACCGACCGCAGTCTCCCCCGCGCGTGCCAGCTTTGAGCTCGGGGGAGCGGGGGAGTGAACACGAACTGTGTCCCCTTACCGCATCACCCCAGCAGAGCACCCCAATAGCAGCAGGGGTGAAGAGGGTGGGAGGTCGACGATCGATTCGCCGTCGGCCCCTTCTGCGACCGTGTCCGGGCTGTGCGTCGGAGTCCTCGGGGAAGCTCCTTGGCGCCCCTTCGGAGCGCTCAGGGGCCTCCCGGGGAGGAGGAGGAAGAGGAGGAGGAGGAGGAGGAGAGGAGGAGGAGGAGGAGGAGGAGGAGGAGGAGGAGGGGAGGAGGGGGAGGAGGAGGAGGAGGAGAGGAGGAGGAGAGGAGGAGGAGGAGGAGGAGGAGGAGGAGGGGGAGGAGGGGAGGAGGAGGGAGGAGGAGGAAGAGGAGGAGGAGGAGGAGCCTCCAACGCACTGAGACACTCGAGGCAGCGGTTGCGCTGCGTTGTCGGCCCTGGGGGGCCCTCTCCGGGCGCCAGGGGCGTCCACCAAAACGGGCTCCGGTATGCCCAGCGATCGGTTGACGGCGGGTTGCATCGCGGCCCTCGGGGGCCCCAAACCTAATCTTCCGCAGGCAGCTGCAGGCCCTTCAGCACGTCCGAAAGGGTGCGTATCCTCAGCAAGCTTCGTCTCAACGATGAGATGTGCACGTTTCGCATTTGAACGTTTCCGTCCATCGAATTTCGACCTGCCTGTGGTCGGAGTCCAGCCGGCTGTAGCCAAACAGCTTGACATCCAACAACAGGAGAAGGCCCAGCGCGGATCCTGAACCTCCCCAGGATTCCGAAAGATGCCCAGAAGCGTCCAGAACCTCCTCGATTCTTGATCCTCCGTCCTCCGCATTCCTCGATTTCCAGGAGGTGGTGGTGGTGGTCCCCGTTGTGCCGTGAGGGGGTGACTTTCTCTAAGAAGCCTGATAGGGGGAAGCTGGGATAGCAGGAGGCTTCTTAGAACACATCCCGGCTCCTTAGGAGCATCCCCAGAAGCACCCAGGGCCTTCTCAGAAACACCCCACCATATTAGAAGCCAGATAGGGGGCTTCTGAGAAAGCAGGAGGCGTCTAAGAACACATCCCGGCTCCTTAGGAGCCTCCTCAGAAGCACCCTGGGACTTCTCAGAAGCACCCCGCCTTATTAGAAGCATGATGGGGGCTTCTGAGAAGGCAGGAGGCTTCTTAGAGCACATCCCGACTCCTCAGGACCCTCCCCAGAAGCACCCAGGGCCTTCTCAGAAGCACCCCGCCTTATTAGAATCCCGGTGGGGGGTTCTGGGAAAGCAGGAGGCTTCTTAGAGCACATCCCAGCTCCACAGGAGCCTCCTCAGAAACACCCATGGCTTTCTGAGAAACACCCTGCCCTCTTAACAGCCCCCCCCCCGCGTCGACACCTGGAGCGCGCCGCCACCCCTTTTGAGCGGTTCTTTATTCGGCGTTTCGACATTGGGCGGAAGGGGGGGGCGGGGGGGGGGTCTGGCTCCGGACCTCTGCTTCATGCGATTGGTTGGAACCGTGCGTCTTATGGACGGGAGGCTTCACCCGCTCGAAACAGGCGCCCAAAACAACCAAGATCTACTCCATGGGGGGAGGAGAGGGGGCGGGGTTGGGGGCCCGCTCCGATCGGCAAAACAATGAATAAAATTACATCAGAGAGAAATCCAATCAATGGATGGTTTTCGATGATCAATGGATGGTTTTCGATGAAAAGATCGACCGTGAACCCGGGAGCCCGGGAACACAGAACCCACCGAAAGCGGCCCGCGGAACCGATAACCGGGAACCGGGGAACCCGGACTCGGGAACCCGGGAGCCCAGCCTGCTACCAAAATCGGCGGGACACTTCCGCCAGATCGTCCGCCCCCTTCGGTGCAAGCACTGATTCTTGGAGAAAAGCGAGCGCCTTGGCACTGCCGTCTCCCTGCCTCGCCCGGATGCCCCTCTCCCCGCCTGCAGCCCCCGCGCAGGGGGCGCCTCTCCCGGCTCACCTCGAGGTCCAGGGGCCCCATGTGCTCCTCGAGGGCCCTCACCCACGCCTCTCGAGGGGGTCCGGGCTCGAGGGAGAGTGGGGGAGCGCGGGGCGAGAGGAAGAGGCAGGAGAGGGGGAGGAAGGGGGGGAGGGAGGAGGGAGGAGGGGGAGGAGGGGGAGGAGGGGGAGGAGGGGGAGGGAAGAGGAGGGGGAGGGGGAGGAGGGAGGACGGGGAGGAGGGGGAGGAGGGGAGGAGGGAGGAGGGGGGGTAGGAGGGGGAGGAGGGAGAGGAGGAGGGAAAGGAGGGGGAGGAGGGGGAGAGGAGGAGAGAGAGAGGCAGAAGAGGGGGAGGAGGGGAGGCTGTGATTCCGTGGGGCTGTGATGGCGGAGTTGGCCCCGGGCCCGCTGAAACATCCCGTCACGTGCGCACTTCGCCCTCGGGAGCAGGAGGCTCTGGACTTTGGAGCGCTTCCGTATCTTTTTGGATACCTCTGGATCGGAAGGGGGAGGGGAAGGAAGAGGGGGTGGCGGGATGATGCCGAGGGAGGAGGTGGGAGGAGGTGGGAGGAGGGGGAGAGAGAGAGAGAGAGAGAGAGACGAGAAGAAAGATCACGAGAAAGGTGGGGAGTGGCCGGTCGGACTCTGCTTGCGAACACGCGTCCTCATGCAGTCCAGATCTCCAGTCCCAGCAATCTGGGCCACTCACCATCTGGCCACTCCAGGAGCTGAAGGCTGGGCCAGGCCTATACGAAACACGTCCGCCGCCAGTCGGCCACACGCATGAGCGACCCTGGGCAATGAAGACTGACTTTTGGTGCGCGGCTTTTCGAGGGCCGCGGGGGGACTAAGCGCAAGCGCCCAAGACGTCACTGCCGCCTCGCGTTCGGCGATCGGGGGACCCCCATTGGTCCCGCACAAAAGGTCACTCTGGCGAAGGGTCACTCTTACGTGTAGTACGTGCAGTCGAGTGAAAGCAGGACCTTGTGTTAGGTCGGGCGTGTCCCCCGACATGCGGATTTGGGGAAAATATGCATATCCTGGCGAAGGACCCAACCATCTGCAGTTGTGGGTACCGCAGTTGTGACTATCTTCTTCGGTGAAGCTCCCTATGGGGCCACGAAGCGCTGCACTGGGTTGGGGGGAAAGCATGCGGGCGGTAGCACTGGGGCCGTCGGTGGAGCTCCCTATGGGGCCACGAAGCGCTGTACTGGGCGGATGAAAACGCAAAATGGGTCGTGTGAGACGCATGCGGGCGGTCCCACTGGGGGCTTCGGTGGAGCTGCCTATGGGGCCACAAAACACTCTACTGGGTGGGTGAAGCAACGCCAGCTTGGCGCACGCGGGCGGTCCCACTGGGAGCTCCGGTGGAGCTCCGTGGGGCCACAGAGCGCTGCACTGGGTTGGTGAATTAGCCTGACGAAGGACCCAACCATATGCAGCTGCGAGTGCTGCGCAGGATATGAGACGAAGGAGGGGGGGCACGCAAACTAGCTCCCTCTTCTCATAGGCTCGCGTCCACTGGAGCTTTCGGTGTGCCGGAACGGAGAGAACACTTACTACGAGTTGTGACGGAGGGAGGACGGAGAAAGAGAAGGAGGAGGAGGAGGAGGAGGAGGAGAGAAGAAGGATCCCAAATTCGGCGGCACGAGTACGCGCAACAGGCTCCGGAGCTTTCTTCATCTTGGCAGGAGGCCACAGTTTGGAAAACTCGTGCGTGCCCCCCCCTCCCTGGGGTACGGAGCTCGTGCAAGTCGTGTTCCTGCTCCTGGTCCTCATTATGTTGCTCTTCCTTTTCCTTTTCCTTTTCCTTTTCCTCCTCCTCCTCCTCCTCTGGGGCCGCGAAAACATGTGAGGTGTGTGCCGACATGTGTGTGGGGGCAGCATGCGGGCGCAGCGCAGCCACTGGGGCCTTCGGTGGGGCTCCATGTGGGACCACGAAACGTGTGAGGGGTGTGCCGAAATGGGCGTGGGGGCGGCATGCGGGCGCAGCCACTGAGAGCTTCGGTGGAGCTCCCTATGGGTCCACGCCACGAAACTGACCCTCGCTGTCTGCATTCCCCTGGTGGGGGGGGGGCGCGTGCAACCTGCGCCACGGGGGGGACGCATGCAACCTGCGCCACTGGGACCTTCGGTGGAGCTCCCTATGAGACCACGAAGCGCTGTCCTGGGCGGGAAGGACGCATGCAACCTACGCCACTGGGACCTTCGGTGGAGCTCCCTGTGGGGCCACGAAGCGCTGTCCTGGGTGGGGGGGACGCATGGAACCTGCGCCACTGGGATCTTCGGTGGAGTTCCCTGTGGGGCCACGAAACGCTGTCCTGGGTGGGGGGGACGCATTCACCCTGCGCCACTGGGATCTTCGGTGGAGCTCCCTATGGGGCCACGAAACGCTGTCCTGGATGCAGGGGACGCATGCAACCTGCGCCACGGAGCTCCCTATGGGGCCACGAAACGCTGTCCTGGATGCAGGGGACGCATGGAACTTGCGCCACTGGGATCTTCGGTGGAGGTCCCTGTGGGGCCACGAAACGCTGTCCTGGGTGGGGGGGGGGCGCATGCAACCTGCGCCACTGGGGCCTCCGGTGGAGCCCCCTATGGGGCCACGAAGCGCTGTCCTGGGTGGGGGGGGACGCATGCAACCTGCGCCAGTGGGACCTTCGGTGGAGCTCCTTGTGGGGCCACGAAACGCTGTCCTGGTTGGGGGGGGGGGGGGGGAACCATGGAACCTGCGCCACTGGGACCTTCGGTGGAGTTCCCTGTGGGGCCACGAAACGCTGTCCTGGGTGGGGGGGACGCATGCACCCTGCGCCACTGGGATCTTCGGTGGAGCTCCCTGTGGGGCCACGAAGCGCTGTCCTGGGTGGGAGGGACGCATGCAACCTGCGCCACTGGGACCTTCGGTGGAGCTCCCTATGGGGCCACGCAACGCTGTCCTGGATGCAGGGGACGCATGCAACCTGCGCCACTGGGACCTTCGGTGGAGCTTCCTATGGGGCTACGACACGCTGGCCTGGATGGGGGGGACGCATGCAACCTGCGCCACTGGGACCTTCGGTGGAGCTCCTTGTGGGGCCACGAAACGCTGACCTGGGGGGGGGGACGCATGGAACCTGCGCCACTGGGACCTTCGGTGGAGCTCCCCATGGGGCCACGAAGCGCTGTCCTGGGTGGGGGGGACGCATGCAACCGGCGCCATTGGGACCTTCGGGATGGCATGGAGGGGGAGGAGGGAGGGGACAACGGGAGGAGAAGGAGCCGCGGGGCACCGTCTCTTCAAAACAAGGACCCAACACCACAGGATGGTTGAGAACAAATGCCAAATTGAATGTATGTGACGCATGCGGGCGGCCCACTGGGGGCTTCGGTGGAGCTCCCTATGGGGCGACGAAGCGCTGTACTGGGTGGGTGAAAATGGAATTTGTGGGACGCACGCGGGCGGTCCCACTGGGGGCTTCGGTGGAGCTCCCTATGGGGCCACGAAGCGATGTATTGGGTGGGTGAAAATACAAAATTAAGTGTGTGGGACGCATGCGGGTGGTCTCACTGAGGGCTTCGGTGGAGCTCTCTATAGGGCACGAAACGTTGTACTGGGTGGGTGAAAATGCCAGATTGGGTGTGTGGGACGCGCGCGGGCGGTCCCACTGGGGGCTTCGGTGGAGCTCCCTATGGGGCCACGCAGCGCTGTACTGGGTGGGTGCAAAAATTCCAACTTGGGTGTGGACGGGGGCGGGCAGTCCCACTGGGGGCTCCGGTGGAGTTCCCTATGGGGCCGCGAAACGCTGAACTTGGCGGGTGAAAATACAGAATTAAGTGTGTGGGACGCATGCGGGTGCTCTCACTGAGGGTTCCGGTGGAGCTCCCTATGGGGCGACGAAGCGCTGTACTGGGTGGGTGAAGCGCATGGAGGAGGGAGGAGGGGGCTACGAAACGCTGTACTGGGTGTGCGGGACGCATGCGGGCGACCCCACTGGGGGCTTCGGTGGAGCTCCCTATGGGGCCACGAAGCGCTGTAGTAGGTGGGTGAAACGTAGAGGGGGGAGGAGGGGGAGGGAGGAGGAGGGAGAGGAAAAGGAGAGGAGAGGAGAGGAGAGGAGAGGAGAGGAGAGGAGAGGAATGCGGGGACCGTCTCTTCAAAACGAGGACCCAACACCACAGGATGGTTGGGAATTTAGAGAATTCTAAAAATTATCAAACATACCCCGCAAGACTAAAACAACATATGTTTGATTATTGTTTGATATTCCTCCTGTAAAGGGACAGGCCCAAATCAAACCCTGTGCATCCCACAAACGTCCGTCGCCAGGCAGATCCGAGGGCCGAGTTGGCCTCCGAAGCTCTGGCCTTGCTGAAGCTGGGGCGACGGTGGCGCGACGGTGCGACGCTGCCGCCAGGGGGTGAGGGGATGGGGGGGGCGGGGGCGAAACCGAAAACGGAACCAAGACGATATCATCCTTGTCCTGGCTTCGTTCTCTCCTGCCTCCCTCCTCCTCCTCCTCCTGCTTCTGCTCCTCCTCCTCCTGCTCCTGCTCCTGCTCCTGCTCTTCCTCCTCCTCCTCTTCCTCCTCCTCCTCCTCCTGCTCCTGCTCCTGTTCCTGCTCCTGCTCCTGCTCCTGCTCCTGCTCCTCCTCCTCCTCCTCCTCCTCCTCCTCATCATCCTCATCATCCTCATCATCATCAACATCATCATCACCATCATCCCCCTTTCTCCTCCTCCTCCTCGTCCCTCCTCCTCCTCCGTAGCCATTTTGGCTCAAGGCTAAAACGTTGTGAAGGGCTATGGACGCCTGAGAACCAGCGATTAGCTTTGGTGCTTCCGTAGCCTGCTTTCCCAGCGGAGCGAAGGCTCCCTTTTGGCATCACTCCTGCATATCGGAGTCTCTCGTGGCCATGGCGCCTGAGCCCCCATGGCGTCGAGGTGGTGCTGGTCTGCGGGCTGGCAGTTACCGTGGCAAGGCAGGGAGCTGGGTGTTTCAGCCTGAAGGCTCACGGAACGACAAACGTGCTCCGCGGCGCCGCCTGCGCCAGCGGAGATACAACGTGTGTGTGCTTCCTGCAGCCACTGGGAGT